TTTATTTATTTATTTATTTATTTATTTATTTATTTATTTATTTATTTATTTGTTGTTGTTGTCTGAATGCTGAGGCTAGGACTTCTAGTACAATGTTGAGCAGCAGTGGTGAGAGTGGACATCCCTGCCGTGTACCTGACTTTAAGGGAAAAGCTCTCAGTTTTTCCCATTGAGAATGATATTTGGTGTGGGTTTTTCATAGACGGTTTTTAAGATATTGAGGCATGTTCCCTCTATTCCTACAGTGTGAAGAGTTTTAGTCAAGAAAGATGCTGTACTTTGTCAAATGCTTTTTCTGCATCTATTGAGAGGATCATATGGTTCCTGTCCTTTCTTTTATTAATGTAGTGTGTCACATTGATTGATTTGCAGATGTTGAACCACCCTTGCAGCCCAGGAACAAATCCCACTTGGTCGTGCTGAATAATCCTTGTAATGTACTGTTGAATCCTATTGGTTAGTATTTTGGTGAGAACTTTTGCATCCATGTTCATCAGGGATACTGGTCTGTAATTCTCCTTTTTTGGTGGGGTCTTTGTCTGGTTTTGGATCAAGGTAATGCTGGCCTCATAGAAAGAGTTTGGAAGCTTTCCTTCCATTTCTATTCTTTAAAATAGTTTCAGAAGAATAGGTATTAATTCTTCTTTGTTAGAATTCTCCTGGGAAGCCATCGGCCCTAGACTTTTGTTGGTGGGGTGATTTTTGATGACTACTTCAATTTCCTTGCTGGTTATGGGTCTGTTCAGGTTTTCTATTTCTTCCTGGTTCAGTTTTGGTAGTTTATACATCTCTAAGAATGCATCCATTTCTTCTAGATTGTTTAATTTGTTGACATATACTTGCTCATTCTATGGTCTTATAATTGTATTTCTTCCATGTTCCTTGTGATCTCTCCTCTTTCATTCATGATTTTATTTATTTGGGTCCTTTCTCTTTTCTTTTTGATAAGTCTGGCCAGGGGTTTATCAATCTTATTAATTCTTTCAAAGAACCAGCTCCTAGTTTTGTTGATCTGTCCTATTCTTTTGGTTTCTATTTCATTGATTTCGGCTCTAAACTTTGTCTTCTCCTGCTGGGTTTAGTGTCTTCTATAGTGTCTTCTACGCTTTTTTTTTCTAGCCCAGCTAGTATCTTTATAATCATTATTCCGAACTCTAGTTCCAACAGCTTATTTATGTCCATACCGTTTAGGTCCCTGGCAGTCAGTACTGCCTCCTTGTCCTGGTTTTGTATGACCAGGTCCCTGAGGGTTCAGAGCCTGTGTGCTCTCACCTTGATAGAGTGGGGCAGAGCTGTGTGGCCTCTGTGGGTCCCCATTCTGCTCTGATTTCTCATGACACAAAATCTTTAGCAGGGCCAGTCTCTAGAGTGTGATGTGGTCATATTGTACACAGGAAGCACAGAGAAGAAAACAGTAGTCAGGGTTACACAGGGCAAAGATGTCATCAGAACCTTGAAGGCCACTCCCAGACTCATCCTGCTTAGAGGCAGCACAAAGGACCCAGTGCTGGAAACAGCTTTATTTCTTCCTCACTAGCCTCAATTCTCATCTGTGCTGTGGGTCCTGGGCTGCCTCTAGGCAGGATGGTGTGGGAGGCAGGCGAACTGGGTTCTACTCCCGGCCCTGCTATGGACTTCCTGGATATTACTACTCAGAACCACCCCACCCCCGCCCCCCGCAGGCCGCTTGTGAGCATTGGGTCATTGGTGTGAATGTGCTTGAACTCACTGCTTAGGTATCGGGGTTCCGGGATTGCTGCTAATATGGCCTCCAGGCTCAGTTGGGCCCGTGCAGACCACACCTACCTCCCCAACCTGCCTTCCATCAGTCAGCAACAGTGTGGCATGCAACTCTTCTGTCTTTTGAGTCTAGGTTTGAGCTCGGATAGGTCCAAGCTTCTGAGAGTAGGTGGCCACTTTTATGGACTTCAGAGGTACCAGAAAAGGCCCCCATATTATCCATATTGGATTCCCCCATTCAAAGCACTCTTAAGCTTGAGGGTTTTTTTCTTAAATGGGGATTCAGTGCACCCGTCAGCCATTTAAAAACTATCAGGGAGAATGCATCAGGAGCCAACCTTGAGATGTGTAATCTGGACCAGGGTTCTAGAAAGCACCTCTACAGTCCTTAAGGAATGTGGGCCTTGGAGTCAGATACACCTCAGGCATGTGCCCTTGGGCAAATCACTTTGCCTCTGAGCCTGCTTTTTTCTTTTTAATATTTTTATTTATTTTTTGAGAGAGAATGATAGAGAACGTGAGAGGGAAGAGGGTCAGAGGGAGAAGCAGCCTCCCTGCCAAGCAGGGAGCCCAATGCGGGACTCGATCCTGGGACTCCAGGATCATGACCTGAGCCGAAGGCAGCCGCTTAACCAACTGAGCCACCCAGGCGCCCCTCTGAGCCTGCTTCTTATAGCAAAGATTACAATCCTGATCTTGCAGGCCTTGTGGAAACCAGATGAGGCATGGCCTAGGTGGAGGACTGGTGGTAGCTGCCCTGTGCTGAGAGCAAGCAAGTGGGTGACAGAACATGGGGCTGGTGTTGTGAAACTCCAGGACCCCAGGTCTCTTCTAGGCCAGCAGGAAAGCCTGCCTCTAGCCTCTTCCTCATGGCGAGGCTCTGAAGGAAACGTGGTCTTAGGCCGGATGAAAGACCTTTATGAGATTTCTATTACCTCAGTGAACTTCAGTGCTACCTCATCTGGCAGGCAAAGCAGGGCTTGTCATATATACATTTTATAGGCTGTGAGGACCGGTTACTAAATTACTGAGGCCTGGGGCGCCTGGGTGGCTCAGTCGGTTGAACGTCTGCCTTCAGCTCAGGTCATGATCCCGGGGTCCTGGGATTGAACCCCGCACTGGGGGGAGCCTGCTTCTCCCTCTCTGTTGCTCCCCCTGCTTGTGCTCTATCCCTCTCTCTCAAATAAA